ATTGCTGTCAGAGATTGAGGGTGGTGGGAGGGGGGAAAGGTTACATATGTATATTATTCACTTCAGTGAGGCTGGAGGAGGGGGTAGTCTGGATAGCATGCCGTAGGCTGTCTTTCAGTATTAGACACAGGGGGTTTTTAGAAAATTAACATTAGTACAAACAGAAGTCATCCTAAAACTCCCAGGCAAAACTACCTGTTCGTATTTTGGGTTTCTGTTTGACAGACATTAAATATGTTGGGTGTTTTTTAGTACATGTATCTGTGTATATACATACAGGCTTTTTTTCAATAATCATTTGTCTTGACGAATGGAGGTGCAGTCACACCAGGCTGACCAGGTTTCCTACAGCACGAAAGGGCTGCAAGAGGCCTTTTGCAGAGGTGCTGGGCTGCCCTGGGGGCAGCAGGAGGATGGCCACAGCTCCAGCCAGATGGCAGCAGCAGTCAGCAGCTGGATCACAGGGAAACTGATCAAGTTGGATCGGCCACAGGTTGAGGGGTGATAATGCTCATGCAGGGCTGGGCTGTGAGGTACTTCTAAATGTGTCCTACTACATCAAACCTGTGTTGTTGACTGCTAGTGGAAGTTTTCAAAATAGCTACGGATGGTCGAGGAAAGGGGAGTTCATGAAGCAGCAGCTCAAATGAACCACTTCCAAACATTCTGTCTTTCTTTCTATGCAGCTAGGACAGCCCTTCTGAACCAGGCAAGGGTTGATGCTATCAGTATGTATCACTGATGTGGGAGAAAGCATCAGAACAGAAATGACAGAGCAAGTTTATGTTAGCTGATTGAATCTGCTCCCATCAGTGACAGATTTGCTGTACTGTGTGTTAAACATAGGCACCTGAGAAACAGAGCACTCTGATGTAAAAGCACCTGTACTCCTAGCTCTGGATTTTAGGGGGTCTTGGCAGTTTAATATAAACTGAAATTGTATCTGTTCACGGTTGTGGTTTTCTATTTTGGTGCTGTACCTATTATAGTGTCCTAATTAAGTATGCAGGATAAAATTACGCAGTCGCTGCTCCCCTGTGGCTCTCACCTGAACAAAACATGTGTCATATCACCATGCTGAGCCACTGATTTTGCACAGATTGAATGCACAAGCTAATGCCAAGCACTGTGGCCTTATGGCCCCAAGTGCACAAAGTTAGATTCAGCATGAGTTTTTGGAGATTTATATCTAAAACACCTATATCCAACATCTGGACCCAGCTGAAATCTTCACAGGCCCCCTCGAATACTGCCTGGAGTCCTTCCACCCCTGTGTCAGTAAAATCCCCAGGTACTGATGGTCTCTCTGGTGATTCTGTGTCTCCATTCCAGTGCTGCTGAAGTGCTCAGGGGCCCTCTTAGTGCCAAAGCCTCAGCAGGACTCTCAAAGCATTGTCCTGGGCATGTGAACTACCAGGTCTGGCCCTACAAGATGTCCCTGCCCACTCATCACCTCATAAACACAGCTAGGGATGAGCAGGTTAGGATTCTTTTCTTTTCCGGTAGATGGACCACCTCCTTGACATAGCAGCTTACAAGTCCTTGCTATGTTGCTCAGATGAGCTTAGAGTCAAGTATCCCTTTCTCAAACAAAACTAATATGTAAGCACAGCCCTTCCTGCACTGTAAGGAATTCCAGTGCAATGCGAATAGTTCATGTCAGTTTTGTCTTTCTGCTAAGAAAAGAATCTCTGGCTATGAAAGGTTTGTGTCTTAGCAATAAGACTTCCAGAAGAAGTCACAAAATGGGAGAGTCCAAATAAAAGTTCTCTCTTTCTGAACAGGAATTAAAAAGTCTGTGAACTTGAAGAAGTGTCTGGGCAAAGAGCAGAAAGAGTCAGAGGGTCAAAATCCCCTCGGGACACTAGGGAAATACCAGAGTAGTTAAAAAAAAAAGACCCTACTAGCTTTAACATTCCCACACAAGTAAATCAGAAGACAGGCTGGGCACTCATTTACATGGGAGCTTCAGAATGAGACAAGCCTCATGTGACTTGAGGGTTATGAGTAAAAGGCCCAGAAAGCAGCAGAGAAAAATCAGTGGGATCTGGGGCATTTCAGCTGAAATCCTTCCTCTCTGCAGAAGTTGCAGGTAACAGTGACTGAAGTTAATAGCTTCCTGACACTGAAGGTGTTATGATGGAGGCTCTGCCTTTTCAGCAAGCCCAGGCTGACGGCTGCTGAGGCTGGATGCCATGAGCTGCTTCCATCTCCTGGTGCCCGGCTGCAGACATTCCTCCCAGTCTTTGCCCACTCTTTCAGCACCTAGGTGTCTGCCTGGTGCATTGAGCGGGCACGTGAGTTGCATGAGTTGTAAAGAAAGGGGAAGGAGGGCACGGATACATTGGAGAGTCAGTTTTGAAAAAGAATATGCTATAGGGATGAGGTTAGTAGATCCAGCAGGCTCTGCTCTGGGGGGAGCAGGGTGACTTGTAGGTTGTATGCTCCAAAATGAGTGGTACTTGAATCCACAAGAAGTTGGGTTAAATTGTAAGAACAGTGTGCATCAGGAAGGTGGACAGGCATCCAGGAACATGGGCTAGAGAGCTGAGTGAATTACAAGGACCAGCTAACCTATGGCAAATGTACTCAGGAACTTGGTTTCACTTAGGACAGCACTGAAGCATGTTGATGAGGTGTGCTCCTGAGCAGTCAGAAGGGATTAAAGAGTTAACCAGGATAGAGAGCAGGTAACCTAAAGAGGTCAGCCTCTTAGGAAAGGGTCCTCTTGCCTGCCTGCACAGGGACTGCCCACAACCTTGACTCATTTTTATCCTTCAGGTCATGGGCAACATGTAAAAATCATGGTAGTGTACAGTATTGCCTATCTAGTCAGGGGTCTCAGTGCCGGTACAGGCATACTCATGCCATACTGGGGGAGCATTACAGTGCAGCAATCCTCTGGATGGAGGGCTAGGTTAGGCTGAACTTGGGATGAGAAGAAAACACCACTGTCAAGTACTTTTTCAAGTAGCACTTGGCAGCTTGCTTTTCAGGAGCTACAGAGCAACCCAGATGCCAAGACCAAAAGGTGAAGGACCTCCAGGTGAGGGGAGGTGGTAGGGCTGGCCGGTGCCTTTGGGGTCACACACAAGGCTGGGCAGACCTGGGGATCACCTGCTGCCACCACCACCTCCCAAGATGGCACTCAAGCACCATTGGTTGTGAATCCCTGGCATTACTGATGAAAGAATGAAGAAAGCAAAGCCAAGTGAATCTAGCTTAGCTTCCCTTGAAGCTGGTCCTGCAACATCCTTACTCTCCCACACCCATGCTTCTGAAGACTGAAGATACTCTGCACCCACAGGAGCAACTCCTTATACACACTGACAGCACTTGTCCTTCAACAGTACCATTCTCTCCCTAAGAGAATGCTGACTGTAAAGTGAGAGTATGCAAAGACTCACAGCAAGTTATCACCTCTCCAAAGCGCTCGGCTACATCATCTGAACGAGGGAGCACTTGGTAAGAATGCTGAATGGTGGTCCTGAGCAGAAATGCTTTCTTCAGGGGGTGTCCCATGCTCAACTGTGCGCTCTCTCATCAATATAAAATCGCCAAGTCAATCCTTCAATAATTTATTTCTTTGTATCAGAGAATGTTTTTCAATTACACATTTAAGTTTGTAACTTTCAACACAAGAGTAAATATACATAAAAAAAAAATCCTAGCTGTGCAAATTTCAGGTTGCATTGTTTCAAATAATATAAATATTTTAATAAAACATGTTCACATTAAGTTTCACAAATACATAAACTTTAACAGAAATAAGTAATGAATATTTTTTTGTCTTTTGAAAAACTGTTTTTTAATAACCAGAAAAAGTTTCTAAACTTGAGAAGCAACTTAGAAGAGGTGCCACCTCCAAAATCATAGCAGCAAAATAGATGCCGAAAACTTTAAAGGTGTGAAAGGAGAAGAGAGAAGCAGGTATTAGGCACAACAGTAACAGCAAGATCACTACAGAAAGTATTCCAGATTGAGAAACAGATGAACTCCAGGAGTAAAATCTCAAAGCAAAAGCATTCTGTTATAGAGCTCCAAGCTGTTTGCACAATAACAGAATCACAGCAAGGATGACAGAAGTGAGACAGGAATGGGTAGGAAGAGCAGCACACATATTCCCAACACTTACAGTGCAAGAGAAGAGAGTTACTCTGGTTTCAGAACTGAAGCTGAAGATAAAGGGCTTTGGGGTTTTTTTGTCTGTTGGAGGCAATTCCTTCCGTAAGAGCAGGGAACAGCAGGATTCAGTTTTCCCATCACATGCATATACTCAGGAAAGTTGCTTCTGTAATCACCTGTCTTTTCAGCTGTCTGGGTATACGGGAAAGAATCTAAATGCTGATTAGGTTAAGCATGTTAAAAGGAGCAGACCAATGCTGGTTTTGTATCTGGCTGTGGTTTGCTGAGGGCTCTGCAAACATAGAACTGCTTACCATTAACACCCTGAATGCCTGTGGGAGCTCCCATCTTGAAGAGCTCTCTAAGAACACCAACATGCAACCCAAAGCAAGTTTCTTCAGACATGAACTGCAAGTTGCATCAGCCTGTCCTGCAGGATCCCGCTCAGGAAAGACTTGCCTCTGACTGATGTATGCAAACACAAAGACCTCCTGCACCTCTGACAGCAGCCTCAGCGCCTCACCCGGGAGCCAGGGAGGTATTGAGAAAGAGGCAGAATTGGGAAGTTCTCTGGATTCAAATGCTTCACACTTCCTCCTGGGAAGTCCGAGAATTAAATATGGCATTGTAGGAGCTTAGTCATGAAAGCTCTGTGCAGAAGGCAACCTGCTCTTCTCAGCAGTCCTTGTATGCAGTGTTTAGAGGAAGTAGATATTTATTCCCATTTTGGGAATAAACATGAACATGAGCAGACAGCTTATATTCCCCCCCTCCCTCCCACTCCCAGGACTATTGAGTGTTCTGGACATAGCACCATTTCAGTGAAGGAAGTAGCTGGTATTGCTTTCCTGTTCTTTACCAAGTCTTCCCCTCCACTAGCCATAGATTTGCTTGAACTGGTAGCATTCATTGCAGTAGCCATTGCACTTGGCATTGCCATAGTGATCACAGGCAGGGGCTCGGCAGCGCTGCTTCGGGGGCTCTTCTGCAGATGGGTTCCTGGCACTCCCCGACGGCGGAAGCGGACCGAGGCGCTGGCACTCCTGGCACAAGTCATTGTTCCTGCAGCCCAGGTTGTTTCTACATGAAGCCACAGCACACTGTCTCTTCTGCTTACTCAGTGCTGTTCGCTGCAGATCTCTGCACTGTTCTGTTCTCTTGAAAAACATTAAAACACATTGTCAGTTGCTGTGCCCGCAGCACAAATGGCTTTTCATTCATTTGCAACTCTGCTCATGGTTTGTATAGGCAATCACTGGGGTCACATGCAAACACATGCTGCTTCTGAAAAGTGCAATACCAAAAGCCAAGCTGGGCTTTACCAAAGAAAAGCAGATTCTGTCATTTCTTAGAAAAAACCAGCAATTGTTTTTATCTTTGGTAACTCTCAATTCTAAAAGGGCCAAACCAAACCACACTTATAAAAGAAATGTGGAACAAAGAAAGTCTGTAATGGGCTCAATGAAAAAGGCAACATGAAGCGGACTAAACCCCCTTGATGCAGTTGCATAGATCTAGGGTAACAATTAAAATCTCTCCCCAGCCAGCAACCGAATCAACTGTTGGTCCAACTGCTTCCACTGAAATTGCTGGCAAAATCCCATAGGAGGTAAAACTGAGCACAGCCATGATAACCCTAAACTGAGAGTGGCTTTTAGGAGCGTTGCTCAGTTGCAGCACACAAAAATCATGCTCTACACTTGTCTCTCCATGATACCTAGGATGCAGTCATTAGAGGATTTTCTAGCATGCATCCCAAGATGTTTGCATGAGAGAAAAGTGTGCAGTGCTAAACAGGAGGAAGATGGTAAGAAGTTCACACTTACCTCTGGCTGTCTCACCAGCTGTTCTTCTGTCCTCCTGGCTTCCTGAAATCGCTGGTTCTGGGCTTTAATGAAGCAGTTCTGGCAGTACCCCTCAAGCATCGTGCTGCCCAGCGTGCCGCAGTCACGCCGCTGGCACGACACGGTGTTACGGAAGGTGGCAGCGGAGGTCCCTGGCTGACCCACTGGTGAGGACTTCCTCTGAGGTCTCCTCTGGTGGCACAGCAAAGCACTGTCTGTAATACAGAGTAAGGACAGGAGGAGTTTGAATGTGCCTCATAGATCTGATGAGCCAAAGCAACCATGAAAAGTTAATTATTTAAAAATAAAAAATCCCAAACCCATGGGTTTTGACAATCCTGAGCCCCCTCCGTTGATGCACTTTCCTCCATGTTACATAAATAAGGGAGCTAATGCAGCCGGATTTTCACATCAGAAGTTGTTGAAATGGCTGATTTGGGAAAAACTTGTCCTCTGTGGGAAAAATAGATCCCAGTGAAGTCAAGAGGAATTTCACCTTTGGCTGCAGCATGCCTTCTGTGACCTAGCCTGACATTCTCCTTTCTGCCTCCCCCATTTCAGGCGTAATGGAAGTACAGTGGCACAGACCTTAATGGGAAAAAGTGCCTTATGCTTTTTGGTCTCATGAAGCAATCTTATATATTCCACAATCAGAAGGAAAAAAATCTCATTGTGAACAACACTGGAAAATAAGCTATTGCAAACTGGCATAGAAGTTCCCTAATTTGAAAGTGCAGCATTGTGAAAGTGCACATGGCAGGGGAGTTGGGCTACATGGTCTTTAAAGGTCTGTTCCAACACAAATCATTTTAGGTTTCTGTGTTTCTGTTGGCACACTTGTCAGCAATGAAACAGTCTTAACAGATAAGCAATTATTCTTATGTATGCCTTTTACCTTCTACACCCATAGGCTCTTTGCCTGTGTAACAGGGCAGTAGCATGAAAGATGATTTCATGCTGTGACTTATTCACAGGCTATTGTCTTTTTGAAGGCCTACCTTTAAACACACGTGCATACATACATATGATATCACCAAGGAAGATTTCAAGGTAGACTGTAACAATGCACTTGTAAGTTACACCAAAATACAAGTACATTATTTACAGTCATCTTCTACTTTGAGCGACTTCAGTAGTGACGCCAGAGTGTTGTATCTGTTACATCTAGAACAGATACAGATCTTCAAGTTCATCCCAAGCTTTTTAAAAGCCTTGCTAACATAACTGGTTTTCAGCACCATTGATGCAATAGCATTTCCCTCACTGACCCTTAAAACTTGTCTAGCTGTGAAGAAAATTCATACCAAACCATGACCGCAGTGGATGGTGGGATCAAACTCCACCCCACTCCTTGAGCTAGTTTTGCTTCCATGAAAGCTGATGCAAAGTTTTACAAGACATTTCACAGATTTCTCACACTGTTACTGTGTGCCCTCTTATGAGATAGTATCAGCCAAAAAAGCACCTTCTCACATTGCTGCTTCTGCTTCACACCATTTCCGTCACCCTTTTATACCAGTGCATATCCAGTGCACACAGAGCTTCATAGCTGAAGGAGGCCAATCTGCAGACAAAGTGTGCCAGAGCTCATCCCATCTCCACTTACCATGGTTTTCCCTGTACTCAAAGAAACACAGTGTGCAAAAGCCCTCATTCTGCGCTGTCCCAAAGAACTTGCAGCCAGGTTTCCTGCAGAGGTTACCTCCCCTCTTTTCCTCAGGAGGCAGTGCTGGTGGCAGGGGCTCCTCGCCAGGACTATTGGGAACCTGATGGCAGGGGTGCTGGAGGAAGCTCTGCGAGATCTGGGACGGGTCAGACGTGGATCTCTGGTGGCACGCAGGCAGGAAAGTGGGGCTGCCATTGGAGGAGTGCTCTGTGGACCTTTTGAAGCAAGTGCTGCATGTGCCATTGAAAGTCCTGTTGACCTTCTGACGGCACACCTTGCATGTGGCATAGTCTAAATGTGTCCGATCATCCAAGTTGTTGGAAGGACCAAGCTGTCTGGAGTTGTAGCAGCGTTCGCAAAGCCCGTTGTGTTGCACGTTCAAGGTAAAGGGGCAGTCTGGTGTCCTGCATTTCATGGCCGTGGTCTCGCTGTAAAGGAAAAGGCTTGGAGCCGTTGGAGGTGCGGAGCGAGGCCCAGTTACGGGCCCTTCAGACGTCCATGCTCCAGGTTCAATAACGTCCCCATTGGAGGAGCCTGACCCAGCTGCCATCAGTTTCTCAGGTGCTGTTGTGGAGATCTGCTTTCTTCCTTTTTTCCCTTGTGACCTCCACTCGAAGCACTCATGGCAGTAGGGCTGGGTGTTCACAGACATGTAGAAAGGGCAATTTGGTGTTTCACATTTCACCTGTAAGAGGGAGAGCTGGGAAAGAGACAGTTCCTGTCTATTCCTGGAGCAGGTCTCTCTTCTAGCAGGTTCAGCATTCTCCTGCCACTTCTTGTACTCATGCTGCACCAGTTGAAAGTAATCTTCCACGAGGTTTATTTCTTTGGGTAGGTTGCCTTCATCTAACCTGACAGCCAAAAAAGGAAGATTGCATCAGTGGTTGAAAAGGGCAGATGGTGGGGGTGGAGGCAAATACAAGCAATGTGAGGAGGAAATGTAGATCTAATGCACATCCATATTACTCAGCTAGAAGATCTAGGATGCTAAAACTGTTGCTGTAAATGGAAATAATTTTAAAAGCAGGTGTTTAGTGATGTCAAATGGAGACTTTCACATCTAATGAAATGGTCTGACGTGATGCTAAATGGAAGTATTCTTAAAAGGATTTTCTAGGTGAGGGTTTTCTGCCTGAGAGCTGTTTGCACAAAGAATACAGATAATCTCTCAGAAATGTAAAATCCCCCAAATCCTGAATTCCTCTGAAGACCAGTGCTCAGCTGACTGGGGGTTAGAAAGGAAGACCTCTCTCTTCACCAGCCCATGCTAGGAATGAGCCTTTCCTACAGAGGACTCAGTGTTTTGTGATACAGCTTATCATGAAATCTGCTCCCGGTTTTGCCCTGTTTGGTCTGTATCTACCAGTGCAATTCTTCAAACAAACTACAGGGCTTCAGTGCAGTGTGTGTAACCACTAGCATCCATCACATCATCCCTACTCTGCCCCTGACAGCACTGAAAACCCCACACCATAGCCTCACCATGCCGCAGCTGGTAGGATGAGGTGCTACCATTACTGGTAATATTCCAGAACACATCTGTGCAGTGGGTCTAGGGAAGCTCAGTTGCTACTCTTTACGTATGAGTATAACCTTTGGGTAGAAGGACCTCAAATTTCAAGGCTCCTGAACCAGAACCACCCAACAGCATAAAGATACCTTCCTGTGTTGTAATGGAAGCAAAGACAGAGGAGACTTCCCTCCCACTCTGGGGAATGGACTGGGCAGACACTGCTGTCAGTGTCCCATAAATGCAAGAAGACAATGGATGCCACCAGCTGCCCCTTGCACATTTCTGATGCTCAACCGTCAGGGGAATGAGCACAGATGCCAGTTCCTCCACCAGCCACAACTTCCTGCCTATAACACTGCAACTGAGGCATCTGTGCTAAGAACATACCACTAAGTACTTTCCCTAGGGCAGCCAAAATTACACCAACTGCCTTTTATGCAATGTGCCCTTACAGAAAGTGCAAGAGTTGAGCCTAACTAGTTCCTGGGTTTAACTACTTTTCAGCCACCCTCCTATGTAATTTAAAGTCAGTGAAAGTAATGCACTTGGTTTACTCTTCCAAAACACTAGTTTCAGACTGCTAAGTCTGAAGACATTCTTGCCTTTAAATATGAGACTGGCCTGAGCTCATACAACTTCAACGCATATCAACAGTAATGTAAATATTTAATATTTCAGAGGGTAAACACATGCACTGCTGTGGAAGGAAGGAAAGACCGAAGGAACACACTGGGCTGCCCAGCTTCTCCCATCTCTGTAAACAAGATGGCTTTGAGGAAACAGGAATGACACTAACTTTGCAGCATTAATTAGATGAGTTGTTCCATGATCCCAGCCTTGCACTGGAATTTCTATCACCATCAAGTAGTCTTTCAGCAGCTGCTCTTTCTTCCTATCTTCTGTGTCTGTCAGAAAGTGCACACTCAAATCCTCAAATCTGCCTTGTTCACTGGTAACCAGAGGGACAGCCCGGATTTCTGTGGGGAAACAAGATGCATTAGCATATATACATTTTACCAGGCAGGAGTAACCACAGGTTGCAACACATGGAGATGTCAACCACTGTTGCTGAATTTTGGAGAGAGAGGAGAATGGCTGGCCAGACCAACCAGTTTCTAAACAGTGCTGCTGGGGGAGGACACAGACATGTCTGCAACACAAACTTAGTCCCGTTCCATGGGAGTTTTTATGTGTCTCCCCCTAGCAATTTTCTTCTCAGTGTGGGCAGCATTGTAGATCTTAGTTTGTTATGCCTTTCCACCGGATGATGCCCTAACCTGGAGAACTGCTACCCATTCAGAAGAACTGCATTAAAAATGGCAGAGCATACATTTCATGATCCCTGCCAGACAGCAGTACACTGCTGTGAGACCTTGTCCTTCAAAGCTTCTTCTCTTATGATGAGGTGTGGAACAGAGACCAGAACACAAGGAAGCAGAGGTCACCCTTTGACTGATTCCAGCCTGCAAGCAGGTGAGTTGCAGTTTGCTTTCAGCCAGTATTTTGAAGGCAACCTTTAGTTCCCATTTAGCTTCAGATTTACAGACAAAGCTGGTTTTGCTCACACTTTAAGAACATATTCCAAAGGAATCTTTTAGATTTCTTTTAGCTTTAAAAATGCAAATCTAAACCAAATTATACTTTAAATGCTTTATCACCATGTCAGTATTGAAGAAGCTACATAAATACCAAAGAAGGTACTTGAAAAATACCTGGCCCGCTGTCCTTCAGAGTCACTAGTGGTGTAAAATGCATGTTGTCATAGCCGAGCACGATTGGGTACCTGTAGCATTCTCCGGCTGGCCAAAGGAGAGGCAAGTAAATACCACCAACGTTCAGAGGAGAAAAACTGGAGCCCGACTCTAAACTTCTTACCACTTTATCTGCATAAGGGAGAAAAAGAAAACACAAATAAACACAAATAAGTATGTGCTACAGGCATATTCTGGGTGGTTTAGAACAATTGCTGAAAACACTCTGTTCTGAAATGCATTTGCCTGAAAGCAGCCATTACCGAAGTAAGATTACCAACACAGTGCTGAGTAACATGGTGAGATGACTGGCTGGGCAACTCACCTGCAAGGACAATGACTGGCCTTCTGAGGATGTTAGCAAGGATGAAGATGTGGATTTCTTCCAGTGCATTATACGGAAGCCTGTTTCGAGCCCCGGATGTTTCTGGGGAGGTCATTTCAATGAGGTATTCCCACTCGTCCTCCCAATTCTGCGGAAAGAAACATGTGTCAGCAACAGTTCAAAGACATGGAGGTCAGGAACCAGCTGCAGCTCAGCAGTGCTTGAAATAATCACATTTTCCCATTTCCTCCACAGGAAGACTATTTCTGCTCTCCACTGACAGTGGAATCCATGAAGCCAAAAAGCATACTAAATCAGGCGACGCTGACAAGCATCAGAAAACAGCACCATTCCCTCAGGCCACCTTACCCGGGTGTCATAGTGGAGTCCTGTTTCTACAAACTCCTGGGATTTAACAGCCTCCCGCTGCCAGCGGAGCTTGAAGTTCCGTGTGTCAATCTCCTTCAGTGCACTAAACAATGTTTTTCTTAAGACAAGGTCAATATCCTCAATACCCCACATGTACTGTGATGCAGCATGCATGAGGCAATTGCCATCACCTGCAAGAAAAAGAAAGAACAGATTATTTTTAAATAGCTACTTAAAGAAAACCCCACAAGCACATGGGATATGGAATTATGCTGTGCATAAGCATATTCCCTGTGTACTTCTCCCTCAGCCTCAAACAGAAGGGTTTTAATAAGGAGCCCACAGCTATGAGCTCTCTGCTCAGAGACAGAGAGGGAGAAAGTCCCCTCTCTGCTGGTTTTGTCCCTTCACTGGTCAGTGTTAAGCTGTTATTCAGCAATGCCCCTTATTAACTTTGACTGATATCATGAACTGAATTTTGGGGTCACCTGCAAATGTCAAACAGAGATGAAATAGTTTTCAAATGCAACGAAGTCACAAGGAAGTCATCTTAAAACTACAAAAGAACATGTAACTCCCCCTCATCAGTATTTACACAAATATACACCAGATGGCACATGGTAGAGATAATAGAAACCACTAAGGAACTACTCTAGTCCCCTGGCAAGCACTGCACTGAAAGGCTTGGCACTTGGCCGTGCTTGATAGAGAAACTGTAGTAAAAAACCAAGACAGAAAGGGAAGAGTAGACGATTTATGTAAAGCATAGGAACACCTCTTGCTTTCTTCTCAGAACTGACAGCATGCTGGGCTGTAAATATTTTATTTAGAGGGTTCTTCTTTAAAACACAAAATTAAAACTAAATAAATGAAAACAATTATTTGATTTTCATTTAGACACCCTCCTTGCACTGAAAAAGTCCTTTTTACAGGTAGGAAGGAAAGTGACGTTCTGCAGTTTCAGAGGGGGAGAAACTGAGACTCCAAGGAATTAACTAACTTAACTAAAAGGTGTGACAAAACATGCCCATGGCTGGGTTTCAATTCTGTCTCTAGCCATCTTCTTCAAAAGGGGATGTCTGCCCTGAAAGAGACATCAAGAATCATTATTGTCATACCCTTAGATTCAAAACTAGGTCTGGTGTTTACTACAGTGGCAAACAGGTTCACCCAGTGCTAAAAAGCCACAGCAATTTCCTTGGAATAGGGGACATGACCATGGCAAATCTACTAGATTTTTCTCATGTGGAAAAAGCCCAACACTTCATAAATTGTTACAGATCCAGTGCATGTCAGGTTCCTGCAACTGCCTTCTGGTTTCTGAATAATGTTCTGCTATGTTTATTTCAAGACCGTGGGCTGCTTACTGGAGCTCAAAAATCAGGGAACAACATGTACGACAAAAAACTGACTGGGTTTCCTTCTGACCAAGAAAGATGACATATTAATCCCATTAAAATTTTCCCTTTGCAAAATCTAGAGCAAAGATAAGATTAAGTATTTGCTCTCTCTCCTAGAGCTCACTTTCAGTTCTTTCTTGAGAAGCGCTGCCCAAAATTCCTTACACAGCACTTGGAATTCCCCTGCACTGTTTGAGTAGCAATTGAGTAACAGTTGTACTTTTTGTTCTGCAGCGTGCCGGGCTGAGCAGCGGAGCCTCCCTTGGACTTTCCCAGGGGGTGTGGCTGGGTGAGCTGGAATGAATGCCAATTCATTACACAAGTGAAATCTCTGCAGCCAAGAGATGCTGGAATTTTTAAATTAAGAAGAAAAAGCAGCCAAGCAGCCAACAAGAAACAGTTTCAATTTTTACACTCCTACTGCTTTCCTTCTATCCTCCCTTCACAGGTCTGCAAAGAAACGTGGGGATTCAAAAGGGCTTTTTTCAATTAAAAAAACCTCAACCACTCCACAAACTCATATACATATAAGGTAAAATATACACTGAAAGATCCTATAGGAGACACTCTCTGTTTCCAACAATTACAACCTTCATCAGAAAAAAACCCCAAAATTTTCTGAAGAAAGCCCACCGTTGACTGAAAGAACTAATATATTCCTCCCACATCTATAGGTTAAGCAGCTAAATCATAGAATGATAGAATAGTTAGGGTTGGAAGGGACCTTAAGATCATCTAGTTCCAACCCCCCTGCCATGGGCAGGGACACCACACACTAAACCATATCACCCAAGATAAATGCTTTAAAATAATATTCTTCATGCCAAATAAAACCCCAATATGAGATTTTATGGGATAATACAGGGCTTCTGCAGGCTTCTGCCCCTTCTTTCAGTCCAATCTACCTCCTCTCTTGTGCTAAGGTCTCTCACTACAACTACTTTGCATAAACCGCAGGTTCCCAAAGCCACTGCTGCTACACATGCCCTTAATGACCCTAAAGCAGTGAGCTGAAGCTGATTGAACAGCCAAGTTCACTGGCTGTACAGGGCACAGGGGAGGCCACAAACCAAGCCCTTGCTTTGCCTTCCCTCAACTTGCCTTAATATTTCAGCATCTTGTATATTGGTATGACTGCTCACAGATGAGATCCAAGTCCACACTGTTCCCATTTGTAACACTGGCTGACAGTCATGAGACAAGGCAAGAAGTCACAGTTATCGAGTATAAGGTTGTCAGCATCAAGGGCCTGCCAAGGCGGTGTTAATCCCTGCAGAACTTGTACTCACTTACATGTTGTCGGTTTTCCTAGTAAATCTGTTAAAGTGTATCTCTTGGGGTGAAGTTTTGAAGATGCAGTGATGTTACCTAGAACCTGTAAAGCACTGCCTGCCCCAGCTGCCACTCCAGCTCTTCTGGAAGTTCAAGATTACATGATCTCCATGCGCAGCCTAACTACAGTCATGAGAATTTTATGCCAGCGCAGAGGCAGCCCACAGAAGCCCACCATAAGGTCAATGCCTCTATCACAGAGATGTACATTAGGATCAGGCTCTTCTAGGTCAGGGCAGTGACATTTGCACAGCGGTTCTATTCTTACGGCTTTTGCACAACACAGCTGTGTACAATCAGACTGAAAAATACGGTAGAACTTGGGATGGGAAGAATGTGGACTAGGAAGATAAGGGCAACGAGTATGTAAGCAGATAAGAAAAGAAGCATCCACAGAACATAAGGACTTCAACAAGGCTGCAGGTCCGCCACACCCAGCGTTTCTATAGCCACTGCGGCCTGCTCTTTGCGCAAAGAATACGTATTTTCCATGTTCTTGGAGTCCTCATTGTCCCAGTCTACCTCCCCAGTTTGGGACAACCTGTGCTATAGGGAATCCTGAGTCCGAGTTTTCAGTTGTGTGACCATAAGTCATAGCTATTACTGAATCTTTCCTCCACTGGATGTGAAATGCCCAGCAAATCTTACAGTCATGTGCAAAAGTTTCCTGCTCAATACTGCGGACACATGTAACCCATTCAGGCAATCTTAAAGCTGCTGCTGTACCTTTTAATTTACAGTACTTGATGTAATACACACAATTTAACCCAAAAGCCAAGTCCCAAAAACAGCACTAAACCTTGAAAGAAAAGGGCACTGCAAACTTCGTGTTGCACAAAAGTGGCTATCAATCAAGCACACAGCAGTTACTGGTGAGTGCTGAGGGAAGGCAAGAGCTGGCAAACCGTGCTAGGTAGCTCAGGATGAGGGAGCTGGCTGGGAGCGGGGTGCTTGACTACAGGGCCAGCGAGGACATATGCCCAGAGGCTCGATGTCCAGGACATTCCTGCCTGCACCACCATTAAAGTTGGACCAGCAAGTGAACCTTGCCTGACAGCTACAACAGCAGGGCTTATGGCAGGACATTAATTCTGCTACATATATGTAAGAATGCATCCCCATCACTCAAAGCAGCTGAAGGCTCCTCTTGCCTGGCTTTAAAGGCTGTTCAGCACTTCTGATGAGGCAGTGACACCCCGCAGAGTCGGATTCAAGTTTCCTGCCTGGTATTTACTCTGACATGCCACAGGTTACTGATATTATGAAAACATCTGTGAGATTTTCAGGCTATTCATAATCCTGTGGTATGAGCAGGGGTCTGCTACAGCCTCAGGACACTACGTCGTGGAAAGAATTTTAGTTTACAGAACTAAGATTAAAAGGCACCACTTCTTTAAAGCTGTGCGCTTCTGTTTCAGTAACATGAACTCAGATGCTATTAATAAAAGTGCTACATTCATATCAGCCATTTCAATGTGAGTGCAAAGATGTGCTCACAACTTACCATTAGTCTTCAAAGGAACAAGTCTCCGAACTTCCATGCACCAGTTGAGTTTCCTCTGGCGCTCCAGCGAAGTCTGGGTGGCCTGGTCAGTAAGGGCCTTCTGAAGCGTTTCCCGAAACTGAGGACAAAACTGGCATATTCTGAACATTTCTATGGTGTATCTGTGCATAGTCCTGAAGTGGTGAATTATTCCATTCGGGGGTTTGACCAGATCTTCAGGTGTCCTCTCTCTAATCTTCATGGCTTTTAGCATATTGCTCTGATACAAAGCTTGAGGAAGGATGTGTTGGCCAGCCATGTTTCTAGAAGACATCTGAAATGAAGAAGAATCCTTTTATTGGCATGTTAGTGCCCTCGCATGACAGCTCTATCACTTCTGCAGAGACTGAAAAGGCAGTTTCAAGGGCAGGATTCTGACTGCAGTTTTGTTAAAATGAGCACAGAGTGTATGCAGTCCACTGAGCCTTATATAGGTGATGTTTTTTAAAGCTCATACCCATTAACCTCTCCGCATTACTCAGGTATGGACACTGACTTCCCACCATTTTCTGCTATCATTTACTGACATATTAAAGAGAATTTATTCATAACTAAGGAAATTGCATCGTTGTTAAAAAAAAAAATAAATCAAAGTAAGGATAAAAGAAGGCAAGATCAAGGGAAGGGCAAATTATCCTGGAAACTTGACTAATTGATAATTGCACAGTGTAATCCCATATGAACTTGCTGAACTTCCAGCATGTTTCAAGCTCTCGTTTTGATGACATGCCAAAAAAACAGCAGATAATGACCATTTCAGATTTCCACAGCCCATACACTCTGAGAAGGGATGCTTGGTTCAGTCCAAAAAGAGCCCCAAGAATTACATGCCATGATAGTATCTGCCCCATACTTACAGTGGCCGAAGATGGCAAATTTGTCGCAGAGCAAGTACTCAAGGACAGACTTATGTTACTCTTCTTAAGGCTCCTTATATTTTGTGAGCAGTAGAGCTACTGCCCAGAGGTGCTCGTGCTGCTTGTGGGGGTGCAGGCTGCAGTGCTGCTATTACTCAGCAGTAAGTCAACACAGCTGAAAAAGCATTTCCACTTGGCTCAAAAACCCCAATATCTTTCCACAGTGGGACACGTAACGTTTGCTGCCCTGCATCCCTTTCTTCAGTACCTCTAGCCTCATGAGCTACAGCAGGAAGAACATAAAACCCCATAACCTCAAACTGTCTACACTCTCTGAAATACTTATGCATGGCACACTAACTTTGTGGCTAGCTAGAGCCAAATTAGGGACCACATCCCTCAAAACTCCTGTGCACTACAGTAACAGCACCAACAAGCTATTTTTACATGAATAGGCTCCCAATTCTGTCTTTCTGTTTAAAAAGGAAAGCAAAATTTCTATTAAGACAAATAAAGGTAGACATGCCTAACATGTTCAGAACACAGCTGGCTACGTTAGGAGAACACACCATTGTGGTTATAAATCTAGGGACAAATATCAACTCATAAATACCTATCAAGGTCAGGACATACACCTTGTCAAGTACAGGGAGACAAGAAGAAACTGAAAACCGGTTTATGCAACTATTAGGAAGCTTTCTCACGGAGATGTGAGTCTGGAGGGCCAGGAAGAGGAGGAAGGACTACAGTCTGATGGACTGACTGAGAAGACACTCCCAGGTTTGCAGAAGCAGAAGACCTCCCCTTACACAAAAGGACTTCAGCACACACTTCCCACAGGGAACCAGCTGCCCTCTCCTCTTCACCCGGACACTTCCATTAGCAACCTCCACCTCCAACCTCCCAGCTGAAGCAGTGGGAAGGACCCTGTCAGGGTAAAAGGGGAATTCAAACACCTGCTGCCAAAAGCTGCACTCTATAACCTGAGAACCAGCTGATGGAGAGGTTCAGTGGATGTCCCATCAAGCCCTAAAAAGAAGCAGGTGAAACACAAGATGCTGCAAAGTCCTCTCCGCTCAGTCAGGGTAATGTCATTCATGCAGTGTTTCCTCTGCTTTTGTAAGAGCACTAGGGACAGGGGTCAGAGCTGGCACTTCTTGTAACACATGGAAAAACCTTCCTTTAGCTAACAAAGATGGCACATTCTTACCATTCCCCACCAACATACAGCCATAAAATGGAAATAACACATTTTCTCATCTACTCCCCCTACCAATATAGTTTTACATGTGCTATTTGCTAATCCCATACTTAAATGTATGGATGATTTAAGAAGTTAAACATAAGCCTTTATTAATCTTTGTTTAATAACCATAGCTATACTTTGCTCCAAGATGACCAAATTTCTTACTGATCTAAGGAGAGCCATTGAGTCAATGGGATTTTCTTACATGAATAAAGGCTAATCACATGATTAAGCACTACCAGCACGGACCCTTGAAATGGTTATTTCCAGCTTTATGTAACAAAAAGTACTGAGTTTAGAGAAGCGTTTGCTGAAAGTGTGTTGTTCAGTATTGTATTCTGCAGGCAAATTTTCCCTTGCACACATGGAAATTACTGTCTGCTACTTACGGACATTAAACGTCAATCAAAGTAGCAGCTGAACAACCCTGATTTTTCAAAAACAATGTGATGAAACAAGCAGAACTTCCCAGCCACTTAAGGTAGAGATTTAAAGGTCGGAAAACAGAGCTACAATTAGATTAGCTTATACTGCACTGCGCTTTACTATACTATTTTAACCTCTTGACATGTAGTGACTACGAGTTCCCAGAACAGCCG